CCCCAAGAGTAGCTGGTTAGGCACAAGGATTTAAGAGGGCATGGAGCTGTTAGCAATCAGTCAGAGCTTCAAGGTAAGCATTGCTGTCTTGGAACTTGTGAACCTAAAATTTCAGCTCAGGACCACAGTGTGGTTTAGATTGTGACAAGTTTACTTTTGTTTGAGCCAAAGGTAACAACAGAGCATTTTTTCTTAACAGTGCTTTTTTAAAAATTCATTCATGGGATGTGGGCATCTCTGGCTAGGCCAGCACTTATTGCCCATCCCAGAGTGCAATTCGGAGTTAACCACATTGCTGTGGGCCTAGAGTCGCATGTAGGCCAGACCAGTAAGGATAGTATTTTCCTTCCCTAAAGGACATTAGTGAACCAGATGGGTTTTTCTCAACAATCGACGATGGTTTAGTGGTCATCATTAGACTCTTAATTCCAGATTTTTATTGACTTCAAAATCCACCATCTGCTGTGATGCGATTCGAACCCGGGTCCTCAGAACATTACCAGACTCATTGGTATAGCAGTCCAGTGATAAGACCACGAGGCTATTGCCTCCCGATCACTTCCCAAACTTTTCCCATCATTACTCTGTTCTTGTGTTCAACAGTGACCAAGACCCCAGGCCCATGAGCATGATGGTGGTGAGCAATGAAGAGAGTGGCCGGAGATAAAGTTACTGAATCCACAGGGTTTTTAAGTAAAAAGGATCTACCTTCCCATTAGGTTTTTTTAGGACAGCATTAAGCTTCCAAGATCATAGACTTAGGTCTCATCAATTATTAAATAAACAAGATTTAAAGAGGCCTTGCAGCTAAGGGTGCCTTTACTTTGAGGTCATTGATTAACCATGTTACTCAATTCCGAGTGTACAATAACGTGCTCCCTGGTTGGTTCCAGAATATTCTGCTCTAAGAAAGCACCTTAAAGACATTTTTGATCTTCATCCAAGCTACTGCTGCTAATTTGATTTTCTAGCTTGTATGTAAATTGAAGTCACTCATGATTCTTGCCATTCCTTTATCACAAGCACCCAATATTTCTTACATACCTTGATCTATATTTTGGTTATTGTTTTTGTACGCCTGTACGCCTCTCCCAGTCGTGACTTCTTTCCCCTATAATGGATTTTACATCCAGATCTCCTCAGCAAATTTAGTCACCTAACTATTGCACAAATGTTGTCCCTGATTAATAATACTCCCTCTCCACCTTTGCAGAACACTGACCAAAGGCACTTTGTTTATGTACTTAACACTTCAAAAACTGCACGTAGAATATGCCCTCCACCTTTGACTGGCTTCCAACTTTGTGCTGAAGATGGCAGACATGATGGACGATGATCCTTTGAACAAAAACAAAGTTGCCGGAAAAGCTCAGCAGGTCTGGCAGCATCTGTGAAGGAAAAAGCAGAGTTAACGTTTTGGGTCTGGTGACCCTACCTCTATTCTTTCGGTTCGATGATCCTTTGAATATGGAGGCTGGTGGGATGGGAGGCGAGGACGATGGGAATCCTATTGAGGTCCTGGGAGGGAGGATTCTCCTTCCCAGGGATGAGGACAGGAGTGTGTTGATCACAGATGTGGACTCTGGTGAGGATATTCTCCGTTGAGAAAAAAGTGCCATTGTGGCGGCCAGTAATAACTTGTGTTCCAATGCCCTTTTATATCCTTTCTTACAACTCCTTTCTTCTGACCCTATCCCATCTAATCCAATCTCTTGTACATTCACGTATCCTCTGACAGTCTGATCTTGGGACTTTGAATGCTCTGTGCTCTGTGAAGGACTCAGTTTTACCCCCTCATGACCCCACTTCAGTGAATTTCGGGCAGGGCATAACATTGAACTCTCCTTCTGTCACATCTGTGCCAGTCCTTTGGGCAGCAATCTGGATAAGAGGAAACCCATCTCCAGTACTCTGGCCTCTTACATGCTCTTAATCTTTTCACAGTGAACTGTCAGGATGATATCAGCGACCCCAAATTTCTCTGCTCCCGTCAGCTAAACTATCCTCTCTCCCTCTGAAATTACTACTTTCTATCCTCTCAGGTCTGAACCTCACTTTGTTATTAAATTAGTGATGATGTGATGCTTTTGTTATCTAACATGTAGCCCTCTATCATGCAGACACTGCGTTCCAATTCTCAGATACTCCTTCCCATCTGGACCACAAGCATCAAGTCATTGAAGTTGCTGACCTCGTCTCCTCTGTAAGTCGTTGGTATGCAGCTTCACACCTTACAGTTCCCCATCCTGAACTAATAGCCTGCTTCTATCTTCTTATACTTACTCTTCTATCCCACTTATTTCTATCCCCCCGTTTCACCAGCAGTTCCGAAGAAGAATTATTGTTAACTTTTGTGAAGAATTATTGGGAATCAGTAACATGTCTCTCTAAAGAAGTTGTCAAACGGGCTGAGTTTCTCCAGCACTTTGTTCTACTTCATATCTCCATCATCCGCAATGTTTTGCTTTTATTTAATATTGGTAGTTCTATCTGTTTATTATATTTTTAAATTCAGGAGGGCTGATGTGCTGAAGGATTGCTTGATTGTTTATATTATTTTTGCCTGATTTTTCCTTTCATCTCAGCCTTTGTCATTTGATCCTGCATGCTTGATCCTGTTGAAAGTTTCAACTAAGTAATTATCATCCTTATATGATCTCTGTTAATGGAGTTTGGTGCGTTTAATTGTTTGGAATGGTAATGCGATGGTAGGGGGATTTTGTGATTGTGCAGATAAATGTCTTCCTCACTTGAATGTGCTGGAGAGCCATCAACAGAAGGAACACTTTTTAACCCTCTCCCTAACAGCAGAGAGCTAAGTTTGATGTTGTTTGTTTGAATTTTAGGGAAGTCTTTGACAAGGTTCCGCATGGTAGACTAACTAATAAAGTTAGGTCACATGGGATTCAGGGTGCGCTTGCCAATTGGATACATAATTGGCTTAATGGCAAAGACAGAGTAATAGTCGAGGGTTGCTTTTCAGACTGGAGGCCTGTGACTAGCAGTGTTCTGCAGGGATCAGTTCTGGGTGCTTTTTTGTCACTTGTATAAATGATCTGGATGAGAATATAGAAGGCATGGTTAGTAAGTTTGTGGACGACACCAAAATTGGTGGCATAATTGACAGTGAAGAAGGTTTTCTAAGATTACAGAGGGATCTTGATCAAATTGATCCATGGGCTGAAAAATGACAGATGGAGTTTGTCTGGATAAATGTGAGGTATTGCATTTTGGTACAACAAACAAGGGTGTTGTTTATACAGTTAATGGTAGGACCTTGAATAGTGTTGTAGAACATAGGGACCTAAGGGTGCAGATACATAATTCTTTGAAGTTTGTGTCACATATAGACAGGGTGGTTAAAAACGCGTTTGGCATGCTTGCCTTCATTGCTCAGTCCTTTTGAGTATATGAGTTGGGCAGTCATGTTGAGGTTGCAGAACTTTGGTGAGGCCTCTTCTAGAATACCGTGTCCAATTCTGGTCGCCGAGTTATAGGAAGGATATTATCAAGCTGGAGAGGGTTCAGAAGAGATTTACTAGGATATTGTCAGGTATGGAAGGTTTGAGTTATAGGGAAAGGCTGGATAGGCTGGGACTTTTTTCACTGGAGCACAGCAGGTTAAGTAGTGACCTGATAGTTTATAATAGATAGATATAGATAGAGTTAATGGTAGTTGTCTTTTCCCTAGGATGGGGGAATTTCAGGAGTGGGGGGGCATGTTTTTGGTGTGAGAGGAGAGAGATTTAAAAAAGACATGAGGCAAATTTTTTACACAAAGGATGGTTCGAGTATGGAATGAACTTCCTGAGGAAGTGCTGGATGTAGGTACAATTACAACGTTTAAAAGATGTTTGGATAAGTACATGAATAGGAAAGGTTTGGAGGGATATGGGCCAGGAGCAGGCAGGTGGGGCTAGTTTAGTTTGGGATTACATTCAGCATGAACTAGTTGAACTGAAGGGTCTGTTTCAGTGCTGTATGACTCTATGACTGTATTACTCAAGTGTAGCGCTATTGCCATATGTAAATTGTGATCGCTTAATGGATCATAAATGAGTGATTGAGCCAGTGACTTGATCACATTCCTTGGTCATCGCATACATAGTCATGTGTGTATTTTTGTAAAATGTTAAGTGCCTTAATAAAGTGCCTTTGGGTAAGTGTTTTGATTTGGGAAGCATTTCTCCAATCAATAAATAAGGATGAGACAGATGTGCAGATGCCTACGGAAGCTGAAAATTATAAGACAAGCAGGTAAATCAGGAGCTCATAGTTAAACATTTTGGGTTTTAACAACCTGAAGATTTGTGCGATGATGGAAAGAAAAAGCATTGAGAATTTGAGCAGATTCCAACCACTATTACTAATTCCTGTACAGTTCCACATATAAGCGTATACTCCTCTGAAATTGAAATCCAGAGGATGGAACTAATCTGGGATAGTGGCACTGGTATATGAAGCTTCTTTAAGAGCGAACTGCACATATGAATAAATTGGTCAACACTGAAGTGTAGGATATGAGTTGTATGTTGCATAATATAGCTTTTTCTTATTGGAAAGAACAGTCTTACATCTGAGATTCAATTTACGAGTTCCAGTGCTAAAGTCTTCAAAACATCATCAAGCTCTGGCTTGTATCTAATGTGTGGTGTGGTGTGGAGTTGATTTTCTGCAGATAAAATTGGAAACCTTAAGTAGTCATAAAATAATGAATACAAATCAGATGAGTGTAGATTTGTTGTTGTCTGTCTGTCTCCACTGTGTTAAGCACAGACGTTTTAGTGTTTGGAATCTGTAATGCCGCAAAAATCAAGAGAGTGCTGCAGTCGAAACTGTGAAGGGATGTTCGTCTGCCTGTGAGGTTGACTGCATAATTTGCTACAGAGAACTTGAACCAGTGCTGATTTTTCATACCAGTCCCAGGAATAGTGGTGCACATTTCCAATTATTCCCACCCCTGGAAACAGCTGCCTAAAAAATTTTCATTTTGCACACAGATAAAAACCCGGCCACAAACTTTGTGTTGAAGAGGAACTATTCTGAGTCTACTGGTAAGATATGCTGTGTTTGTGATGTACGGTGTAATACGTACGAGAGCTTCAGAATCAACTTATTCTTGGCTGCAGGAATGCAGCAGATGCATTGTCTGATGTTTGGGCTTTTGAATGTTAAAAATGTGTTGCTTTTAATGAAAAGAAAACTAAATTCCTGTGTCCTTATTTGTCTCCACTACACTCTTTCCATTATACTTAACTGTCTCTTTCAATTTCTTTCAATTTACGCTATCTGTTTTTCTTTATTTCATTCTCTGTCTTTGCTGACCTTATTCAGGATGCCCTGTTTACACTGGAGCCTTTATGTCAGTGCAAACTGCGCCAAAAAAACGTTTCCAGTGTGAAATGGCTGTAACAGCACAGCTGTGGTGTAGCACTTAATTTTCAACCAGAATGTTGGCAATGTTGATATTTTCTCACTATAATACTGAAATAGCTGTTCAGTTGGCCCATGATGTATCTTGGAAACGTGCATTTACATCATGATACAGGCACATGATGCAAATTTTGTTTTCTGGGCAACTCTGTGCTTTGCATGTAACCTGTATTGTGCGTTGCACTGCTATGATGTGATGTTGAGGAAGTAGTTCTGCTTTATGCCTGGAGGAAATTGATACAATTTAATAAGTGCAGCTTCAGCAAGCAACGTGTATAATGGGTCAACCCTAAACATTTTCATAGCATTTCATTCCGTGTATTTTTGGACACAATTTAGTATAAAGTGTCATCTAACTTTCACTAGTTTCATTCTGCTTTCTGGTAAAATGAATATATCCTTGGGGAAAAGGGCACCGTTAAATACAGTTGAAGACAAAGCGTAAAGATTATTTGTCCTTTAACATTTCCAACCCAAAATATCCAAAAAGGTGACACTTCCATTGGAATGAGAGTATTTTCTAAAGTGTTTGGATGGGGGAAGTGTTAAAACTAGTCTGTCTGCTGCATCTATGTGCAAGTATACTATTTTTACTGAGTTTATGAAATGTGTGAATATATAACTGTTGTTTGTATGTAATTTGGCCTCAGTTCAACCGTTTCAATGGCAATAGACAACTAAGTGTGTGTATTTACTGTACTCGCAATAACTAACATCCTGAAATATGCTAAATGTTTACTAAAATTACTGGTTTCTATTGAGATTGCTATGTGTTCAGTAAAATGCAAATCACTGTTGCACATGCACTATATGTCATCGTGTGTTGGATTTTTATTTCATATTTATTGAATTTTATGGTGAAGTTATATTTTTAGTTTTAATATTTAATAATATTTGTTGAATATGTATTTGTTTACATACTGATGCAGATTGTGCCCCCTTAATCTGCCAATCTTGAAACTGGGACTATACTGGACCTTGAAAGGTTGTATCAGAGTCAAAGAAAAAGTAATTGTATGTCACTCAGTTTAGTACCATGGTTAGTGCCTGAAGTCCTGATGAAAGTATCCAAGTAATATATCCAAGTATATTCAAAGCAGGAAGATATTTTTTGGTACAATTGGATAAAAACCCCTTGATGAATGATTGCCCAGTTGGACACCAGAAACAGGATTCAGAGTATCAAAACTGAACTGAAAGGTGCAACAAAAAGTCATGAGTAAAGATCAAGGTACAGGAAACGCTGAAGTACTTTGGGTGGAGAGCTGGGAGTGCTGAGTTGGGGAGGTACAATCTGTACTGTTCTAACTGTTGCTGGAAATACTGTTGGTCATAAATTCAAAAATAAAGTTGTTGTTATTCCTGTCACCATCCAATTCAAGTCAGAAGAAATTTGTTCTTAAAAGTTGGAAAAACTTGCTATTTTCAGATTCAAGTTGAAATTTCAGGAATTATTGATATGTATAAGGTACATTTACTTAACAGCACAGTTAAATGTATACTTAAACGTAACTAAGTAGATGCCATTTATCATCCAACCAGCAATTAACAGAAATAGAAGTTAGCTTTTTGTATTATTTTCGTGTTTGTATTGAGTATTGTTACTCAAATGATGCTGGAGCAACTAAATTGGAACAGGGATAGACTTTTCAATTTCACCCCTGAATTGGATCATGGCTCCTGTGCGTGTTGACTGCTCTCCCTCCTTCCTACCCTTTGTCATGATCCCTATTTCTGATGACCTTGCCTAATAAATATATACAAATCTTTCTTGCAAATTTCAGTTAACATAGCATCTACAGCCTTTTGATAAATGATAATTCAATATTCCTATGATTCGTAGAGCAAAATACCTTCTGATTTCACTTCTCAATGGCCTAGTTCTATTTTAACATTATTCCCATGTTCTCTCTATCAGATAACAAGATTACAGATCAGACCTGCCTTTCTTTGTTTCAGTCAAGATTCCCAACTTACTTGACTCCTGGGTATAGGTTTAGCATTGGAGGAGTCTTGGGTAACTGAGTGAGTTTGGGAAGTTTTGGCTGGGTTTTTGTTTATTCATTCATGGGATGAGGACAGTTGAGAATCAACCACATTGTGGGTCTGGAGTTAAATGTCGGCCAGACCAGGTAAGGTTGGCAGTTTCATTCCCTAAAGGACATTTTCAGCTCAATTGGCTTGTCAGACCATTTTATCCTTTGACCTTTAGCTGCAGGAACCAGATTTATTGATAGTGTCCTGAACAGGAGGCAACAGTTCAATGCTGATTACCCTGATTAACTCTTGGCTGTGTGGGGAATTTCTGGAGGAAACAGTTTACTGAGGAGTTGCTGGAAATTTCACTCAAGCTGTGAAATGAGGAAACAAGGCATTAGATTAACATATATCTCTGGAAATTGTAGTCAGGTGCTCTGGCTGTTCATTTGGATTTAAAGCTACGATGGAATTGTTCCTTAATGAAAATATGTGAATTGAGTACTTCGATGAGGAGAGCAGATGGCCTGTTGGTATTATTACTAGACCTATTAATCCTGAGACCCAGGTAATGTTTGCATTCGGGTTCAAATCCTGTCATAAATATGAATTCAATCCCTGCCCCAAATAAGAATGTGGAATTGAGTCTGATGACGAAACTGTTGCTGATTGTTGTAAAAACAAATGCCTACATGTGACTCCAGAACAACAGCAATGTGGTTGTTTCCTACTGCTCTCTTGGCAATTAGGGATGGGCAACAAATACCCTTGTTTAGAGCAGCAGGGTGGCTTAGTGGTTAGCACTGCTGCCTCACAGCACCAGGGACTCCAGTTCGATTCCACCCTTGGGCGACTGTTTGTGTGAAGTTTGCATATTCTCCCCATCTTTATGGGTTTCCTTCGGGTGCTCCGGTTTCCTCCTACAGACCAAAGATGTGCAGATTAGGTGGATCGGCCAAGCTAAATTGCCCACAGTGGACAGGGATAGGGTAGAGGGTTGGGTCTGGGTGGGATGCTCTTCAGAGGTTTGGTGTGGACTTGATAGGCCAAATGGCCTGCTTCCATCCTGGGAGAGTTCTGTGATTCTATGAGGTCACGTAATTATAGCTTTGTTTATTATACATTGGTATAGATAGGATTATGGGTATAGATCAGGTATGCTTATAAATGCACCACTTAGAAAATATCTGTCGACATTAGCTATAAATACACCCATTATAAACTTGCCCATTTTGCTGAGACCTTTGAAATGGCCACCTGTTTCATTTTGGTCATTTATAATGGTTATAGCCCAGTTTCACTAATATTGATGTGCTGGTAAATACCCAAGTAATTATTTACACTTTTTATTATGTGTAGTCAACTATATGTGAAACTAATTAAATCAGTCCACTCGGACTTATCCCCTTTCTGTAATATGTCTTAAATGTGGTGGTGACCTTACTTCAGTGACAAGTTTTTATTCGTAATTAATTAAATTTAATAGACTCATTATGTGTGATTTGCAGCTACTGATTTAGTTACCTGTACTTTGTAGTACTTGAGATTTCTTACCTGACACTTCCAACAGGATTCTTCTCATTCTGCAAATCTTATGTTGATTTACATAAAGATCATTCTTCTAGGGATCAGTCAAATACAAAGCACTCCTTCACCCAGTGAGGTGTAGCTAATAATTAATGAATTTGCAAGAGGTCATATCCCTAGAATTGATACATTCTGTAAAACAAAGGCCTGTGTGTGAATTCATATGGCAGATACATTTTTAATGAACCAAGTGTGATTAAAGACAGACTTTAAATATGAAAACTGCCAGACAGGTGGTGATTTTTATTGCTGTATCTTTCATTCTTGATATATGTCGAGGTAGCTAATACTTCATGCGGGTTGTGCCTGATATATGATGAATAATTTGCTTTTAAAACCACAGTAACTTTATGTATTCTGAAAGCCTAATCTTGAGGTTTGAAGTTGCAGGAACAGGAGGAGGCAATTTAGCCATTTGAGCCAATTCTGCCAGTCAGCTGTTATCATGCTAGATCTGTTCCTCAGCTCTCTTGCATTTTTCCCATGAGTTACTTTTTTTTTAAAAAAGTATTTATTTCTGTCTTGAAAATTTAAATTGATTCACAGTCCACAGGTGGAGAGGGTTCCAGATACTTACTGCACATTGTGTGGTATAGGGCTCCTTGATTTCATTCTTAAATGGCCTAGTTCTATTTTTAAGATTGTTCTTATTTGTTCTGAATATTCCATCAATTTCTGTATCTATTCTATCAAGATCCTTATTTTTTTTTAAAAATCATCCCTAAACCTCTAAACTCCTAGGAGTACAAATCAAGTTATGCAACCTCTCACATAATTTAAGTCCTCGTAGGCCTGAGTTTATTTTGATGAATTAATGCACTTGCATGTACTGTTATATATTCCCTAAGGTTAAATGCCCAAAATTAAGCACAGTAATTGAGATGGGAACCTGACTAAATCTGTTTTAAAATAGAGTCAACACTTTCTCATTTTAGAATTCAGCTTCCACCATCTTTATTGAGACAAGGTTATCTTTCTTTAGTTTTCCTTTAAGCCTGTTATCTATTCCCAAATTATGCATGTGGATGCCCAAATCCTTTTGCTCCTTCACTGATCTTAGTCTCACCACGTTCAGTAAACATTTGTATTTGAACCAAAATGGGTGACCTCATTCAGTTCCACCTGCCACTCTTTTGCTTATTCATTTAACTTGCCTACGTTCCTTTGTAACTTCTTGTCGCCATCTAGACAGTTTGGTATACCTCCTGTTATGATGTAATCTACAAATTTGGATGTCCAACTCTTATCTAATTCAGCATATGAAAAACTGAGTCTCCATCTCTAAGGAAAGCCACTTGTCATAGTCCAAAGATAAATATTGTTCCCTTTCTGTTTCTGGCCTCCTGTCCATTACCAAACCGTTTGGTAAGGTTAACTCCAATTTGATTCACTTTGAGTATGATTCAAACTATGATGCCATATAAAAATGTAGAAATGAAACATGAAAACATGGAATTTTTCAGGAGGGGAAGTTACATATTATAAAATGAGAAAAAATTGTTAAATTTTCTGTTTTTTTTCCCTTCTTTTCTGCCCTCTAGTGTCATCGTGTATAACCACTTACAAGAAGACTCCTCCACCAGTTCCACCACGAACCACATCTAAACCATTTATTTCAGTTACAGTCCAGAGCAGCACAGAATCAGCACAAGACACATATCTCGACAATCAGGACCACAAGAGTGATTTAAACAGTCAGTCCGGTCTCAGCAATTCTTCAGATAGCTTGGATAGTGCCAGGGCTCTGAATACGACTAAAACGGGAAGTGTTGCTGCCCCGGTTCGTGAACAATTAGACAACCGAACCCAACACCGAAATGCTACTGTAGCAGCTGAGAAGGGACCACTCGTCACTGAGGAACCGAAGGTGGAAGTTCCTCCAAAAAGAAAGCTGTCTTCCATAGGGATACAGGTAATTTGTGCTACACGATTTTCAGGTTAAAATTGCATTACTTGATTGTTCAATTGGCTGGATTGAATGTCGTGTTAAAAATTTGATACTTCATTAAAAGGATGGCTAAATTCTTTCAGCTTTGGATTCTTTTATTTGATGGGTAACAATGGTGGTGGTTGGGGGGGAATTGTTTTTCAGTGGTGACTAAAGCCGTAATTGTTATGACACCGTTTTCATCAAGGACTGTCTTCTTTGGAATGCAGGCAAATAGTGTTTGGATTTAGTTGGCTATGTGCTACGCTGTCTTTATAAAAAGTGTAGCAACACAGCTACTTCAATAATGCAAAGCAGTTTTACAAATCCATCATTACAACTCAGCAGAATGACCATGAATGTTAAAATCTTATGATGTGGCATTCTTTATAGGTTTGATTTTATCCAAGGACACTAACCTCTTGACTAAAAGCTTCAAATAATTACTCGAAGTTAAATTTCAGCTTGTCCTGCACTGGGAATCCTGTTTTGTACTGCTACTTTAGGTCACAACATGAAGCTAATACAATATCAACAGTGCTAGTTTCTCAGTGATTTTAGCCAAAAGCATTGAGTCCTAACTGTATTCTAAGAACAGATTTGATTGTCTGATAGGATTGTCATAATTTAGGTTTCTGTAATTCAGTGATTTATTAGCAAAATATTTGCATGTTAATGCTTTCTGAAGATTGATAATTACTTTCCTTTGGGTAGCTGATAATGCCTTTCAAAAGTTAGCAATGGTTCTGCATTTCCAAGGTTTCCTGCATGCGTTTACTAGTACTTGCATAACTCCTTGAACTTATATGCTGTATATAGGCCTTATACATGCTGTTGTTTTGTTTGTTATTTGTAAAAATGACCTTTTTCATTGTTGGATCACCTAATGTTCTAAAATGTATTTCTGCTGCATTTCAAAAACAAAAGATCTGTCTAATTCTGTTATCTTTAGCACTGCTATTTTATCTTGCATTATTCCTTCTTTATTTGTATTATGCGATCTTTATTTGTGTGTTGCCCAAAGGGGAAACGTGGGTAGGCCATTTTCTAGCAGTTTTCCTCTTGGAGTCTAAGTAGTCTGTGACTTCTCAGTACTTCACTGCCCCCACCCCGCCCCGCTTCATTCTGAATCTTATTGCGCCTGTATGGGCTTGTTTGTTAAATGGCTATGTACCCCAAATTTTTCTCTCAGCAGCAGTTCATAGAATCTCCTACAGTGTGGAAACAAGGCCCTTCAGCCCAACAAGTCCACACCAACCCAACACAGCATCCCACCCAGACCCATCCCCCAACTCACCTAATCTACACATCCCTGAACGCTATAGGCTATTTAGCATGGCCAATCCACCTAACCCGCACATCTTTGGACTGCGGGAAGAAACTGGAGCACCCGGTGGAAACCCACGCAGACACTGGGAGAATGTGCAAACTCCACAAAGACAGTCACCCGAGGGTGGAATCGAAGCCGGGTCCCTGGCGCGGTGAGGCAGCAGTGCTAACCACTGAGCCACCATGCTTTTGTCATGTTGTTTGTTCTAGTGAAAATTTTGTAACTTAGATTTCACCTCTCCCTCAAACAGTTGTTCTTTTTGACTGCCCAAATACACATTTTTCCAAAACGTTCCAGCTTTCTAATTCTCTGCTTCCAGTATACAAGTTTGAGAGTGTGCTTTCTGTTGTTTGCAGTCTCTTTAAGGTACACATTGATTTGATTGGTACTGACTAGTGGTTAGCTGCATCGAGGTGACCTATCGGGTTAGCTGTTTTCTTAAGAGTACCAATATATTTGTTTCCCAATGTAAGATTTTTCAGTGGCTTATAAGATCAATTTAGTGTGGTCCCTTTAAAATCAATTTAATTGTTTTGATGTTTAGAACACAATTACAGGGAAAAAATGGAATAGACAGTTGTCAATTTCTGTTACTGACTTATAGAGGTTTCTTTCTTTTCAGGTTGACTGTTCCCAGAATTTGATTAAGGAACAAGATTCTCAAATTATCAACAAATTCCAGTCTATTGGAATACAAGTGGAAGACGAGTGGCGGTGAGTGAAATTAATTCAACTAAATGAATTGATTTGCATCTGTTTTCGAAAATGTTACCATTTCAGCGCACACCACTCCCTCTGCTATTAACCCACTCATGGGCCTCTCTACTTGCACTGCACCTCCCTGGAAATAATCAATGTTGTCATCCTTTTGATGAGCATTTTTTTTTCTGATTGTTCCCACTGACTTCTGGTATAGTGAAAGAAACTTTTTTTTTTAAATTTAGTACCTTTGATGTAATCAAACTTCCCAAAGGCATTGTAAGCAAAAGTGGAACACTGAGCACTGTAAAAGGATATAGGGTCAGATGAACCAAAGGTTGGTCAAAGAGACAGGCTTTAAGATTGTCCTCAAGGAGGAAACGGAAGTGGTGATGTGAAGAGAGGATATTCTAGGGGTTCAACTCTAGTCAGCTGAAAGTGCAGCTACTGGTGGCAGAGCAACTAAAATCAGAAATGTGCAATAAGCCAGAATTAGAGGAATGCAAATATCTGAGGGATATTGAACTGAAGAAGATTACAGAGATAGAGAAGGGTGGGACTGCAGAGGGATTTGAAAGCCAGTGTGGCAGTTTTTAAATCATCCTTTGACGGAGAATCAGTGTGGACAGTGAGCTCAGGGATGGAGTAAAGGAACTTGGACATCAGTTTTAGTGACCAAGATTACAGTGGGTAAAATTTGGGAGTCCAGCCAGAAGGGCACTGGAATATTCGACATCTAGAAGTAGCAAAGACATGGTTTATGGTTTTAGCAGCAAATTACTTGAGACCAAAGCAAGGTCGGATGGTTTTCTGTGATGACACAAATGGGATCAGATCCTAATTTTGGGGCTAAATATGATGCCAAAAAGCTGACTTAATCTTGTACAGTTGCTAGGTAAACTTGCTTTGAAGGAGTTTCCATTATAATATGGTTATATTAAGCTTAATAGAGAAAGGTTGCAGTATACATTTACCACTGTGTTCCATAAAGAGTGCAAAGATATTTTCAAAAGGTTGAACCATATTTTTGCTATGTAAGCAATGGGATGCTGGAACTGTGCCATGCTGTGGAATCTAAATAAGCTTCCGAGACAATACTCAAACTCTGAAAGTCGCTCGATGATTGCCTGAGCCCCCCCTCCCTCGCGAGAAATAATATTGAACAGCATGAGTACTAATGGCACTGCATTTTGTTTAACAAACATAATATGATGATTGGAAACTTTTGACTAAATTTGTACACCATAACACCTAAAAATATCAATGTACCCAGAATTCTGAAGTTCATTGTGATCAACAGATCAGAAAGTACTTAACTCAGTCAATTCTAGATACTTTTAATCAACCTGTTCACCTCTGGAGCAAGTGGGGCCTGAACCTGGGCCTTCTGGCTCAAGTATAGGGTCACTAGCACTGTGCCACAAGAGTCCTTTGCAGTCACTTGTACATCAAATTATTTCATCTTTGCTGCAATAATGGACCAATGCTGAAACTAAAATTAAGCAACCGGCGGAGAAGGAAGTGTAATAATTGCTTTTACTGATTTTGGTTAAGTATGTCTTGATGGACATGTGCACATCTTGGTATTATAGAATGCTTAACTTTAACATACAGGTTATCATTTCAGTTTGGAAAAGTGTGTGGAAAGAATATATCACAAATACTTTTTCATAAATAACCTTTGAATTAAAGCTCACAGAGCTGTTGCCAGAGAATTTCCCTGTAGAGCAAAAATGTCTATATATTTAAATTTCTATGTCCACTAATAAACAAAACTAGCAAATAGACTGAATATTGGAGTTTGACAAAACAAACCCATTAATGGAAATTTAAAGCGGAGGCCACTCTTACGGGCAATGTGTAGTGAATTCCTCTTGAAGCTTATTGTTGCACATGTTCCTAAATCTCCTATCTCTCAAAAAACACATTGTTCAGTCCTGACCTGGAGTTTGGATCAATAAATGTTTTCTTCATTTACAGCTGGTGTGAGCATTAAGCTCTTTAGAACTCCTTTGCCAATTTCTATGTATGTGCAGGCTGAGGGAATCATTTAGATTATTATTTTTGCTTTACTTTTCAAGCTTTGGGTTGATGCTGTTTCCTGATCAAATGACTAAGTCATGAGTTCAAAGCAAGTCTACTGTGTAATGGATTGGAAGACGGCATGACCAAATCACAGTGCTGACAGAGCAGATGACTGACTCCGAGAAGATAGAGTCTAAACGTAGCAATACTTGTTCGTTTCTGATAGTTGACGTTTATCCTAAGACGGAGGGAAGTTTTACCAAGCGTAGTTGCGTTCTCCATTGTTATTTTAATTTTAAACAAAAATAAACTTTAGATTTGTGACAAGATGTGAGCGTGATTTTTACTGCAGTGATAAACAAGTTAATCTGTTTCACTGTATGTTTCTGGGTTAGAGTTCATTGGGTGTTGTATCCCTTTTTAATGTATTTGCTTGAGATCTGATTCTTTTGCGTATGCAGTTGGCTCACCTAAAAGGAGGATCTAATTAATTCGAAAATTGTCTCATTATTTAAAACAGCATAAGCCGCTCCAGCAGCATGACTTCAAGACAAGAAACTGACTCTGATACACAGGAATGTAATTCTACTGCTGGGTCCCAAGACAAAAGCAACCAGCTTTCAGATTCAGCTCAGCATCACAATGCCTCAAACCCTGAACCTGTGGTACGGCAACATGCAAAAAGCTCCCAGACAAAAAATAAAGCATTTGCTTATGGAGATAACTTAGATCCAGCCCTAGATCCATCCTCTTTACCACCACCGGAGCCATGGTTAGAATCAACTAACAATCTCCCTGTTGAACCAGTCCACACTACTTCATGTCGTCGGGATGGCTACTGGTTTTTGAAACTGTTGCAAGCAGAGAAGGAAAGAATGGAAGGATGGTGTCATCAAATGGAGAAAGAAACCAAAGAAAACAACCTGTCTGAAGAAGGTACATTGACTGAAAAATAGTACTTGCCGTCACAAGTCCCATTATTGTTGTTCACTAAATTAAAGAAAAATAGTTATATAGTCTTGATGTCAAACTCCACTTTATAGCTTAAGTTTTTTCAAACTAATTTTGTAGTTCATTTCTGACTTTCTTTATTAACTATCGCTATATTTAAGCAGCAAATGTTAATTTACCAGCAAGGTAAAAAGAAATGGTTTTGAAATGAGACTGTGTATGTCTGAGTGGTGCAGTTCCTACCAACGTAATAACCATACCTCATAATAAATCCAAAATAAGATCTTTATTCTTGAGTACAGAAGACCAAAGTGCTTCCATTATCCTAAACTGTCCTGCAGTATTGGACCTCTAACAAGATTGTAGGTTTGCACCATGAGACTCGAGGAGGCTGGGCCGTGCCCTGCATTAAACTTGGATAAGTCCATTAAATTGCTGCGCCTTCGTCCCCTCAAACCATTTTTCATTTGATCTACCATGTCCATTGCGGAGTTGAATGTAAGGAAGGAAATATCTTCTTTGGTGCACAGGACTTGGTTATTAGCTTTTGCTTTTACTATAATTGGTTTTTAGCACGGGTGAGTGAGGAAAACATAAACCAAAATTTGCACTGATGATCAATAACCCTAGCTATCCCCCTCGCCGCCAACAAAATATCAATAATGATCATTGGGCTGGATGAATTCAGCTGAGATGCTCCCTGTCAGACAGAAGTCTCATGTCACTATTGATAGATTTGGAAATAGGAATGACCCCGGAAATAGAAGCACCTGTAGACCGTTAAGCCTCTCAAGTCTGCAGTTTCATTCAATTCTATCCTAGCTAAGTCAGTTCCATTTTTCACACCCATTCCGCATATCCCTTGATTCCATAAAAGATCAAAAAAATTCTCAATCTCTGTGAACATGTGCTTTAATGGCACACCATCCAAATGAATATATATACTTGCTTTGATATGGAGACCAAAACTGCACGAGGTGTAATCTCACCACAGCCTAGACAATAATGGCAAAATTTACATTTTTGCACCCTAATTCCCTTGCAGCGAAGGCCAATCTATCATTTGCCTTCCGAATTGCATTCTGTGCCAGCATACTAACTTTGTGTTCCCCAAAGATGCCCAAGTCTATATGAATATCAATATTTGTAAGTTCATGCCTTTTAGGAATAGTTCTGCTCTTCTATTATTAATATCGAAGTGAATAGCCTCCCACCTTATACTCCCATCTGCCACTTCATTACCTACTCTTAAAACCTGTTTATAGTTTTGTACTCCCATCACACCACACATTCCAGCACAACTTTCATCAGTAAACTTACATACGACACTCCTGGTTGTTTTGTTAAAGTACGTGACATAGATTGTAATAGTTGAGTCTCCAGCATTAATCCTTGCAACACTCCATTAGTTACAGCCTCACAGCTTGAAAATGCCCTGTACATCCCAGCCCTCAGCTTCCTGTCCACTTAACCAAAACTTCATCCATGCTAATGTACAATGTCCAGTACTGGGAACTGTTATCTTTGCTCTGAGCATTTTGTTACGGCATCTGATCAAAACCTTTTGGAAATTCATGTTTACACTTCTAATGGTTCCCCTTTTACACGCTAAGCTACATCCTCAAAAAACTCTAATTTGTCATCTAACTGAAACTTTTGAGAATAGATTTCAGTGTTTTCCTAATGGTTGATGTCAAGCTAACTGCCCTATAACTCTATTTTCTGTCTGCCTTCTAAATTGAATTGCAGAGTTACATTTGCTGATTTCACTCTACTAGGACTGTTCAAAAATCTTGGGAGTTTTGAAAAATCATGAACAACATCCACTGTATCTTCTCTTTTAAAAGGAGACCATGGATATAACCCATCAGATCCTGAGAGATTGTTGACTTTTTGTCCATTTTAGTTTCATGAAAACACTTTTCTCTCTTAATATTAATTGGCTTCAGTTTCTCACTCTTATAAGTTTACTTGGTTACACTTTGGTGAGGTGCTGGAAGAGCTGAGCCTGTATTAATGTCACAGCAGGAGTATATTGTTTTGGGAAAGAAGAGTTTAGAATGGGGTTGCAAGGTTAAATATCAGCCATGTGCTGTCATCTTGACTCTTGGGCATTTTTTTTGTGTATCAGTGAACTGGATGTTTTAATATGTCAGTAACTGCATCCAGTAGATAAAAGGGTTCCTGTGCCATTATGTAAAGCTCAGAGCTTTAGCCAAATGTGGGTGGGCAAAAACTGCAACTATGTTTGCTTGTTCAACAGCCAGTGCTGTTTGTAAATCTTAAGATTTCATGCATCTCATTGAGTTGAACTTGACTCCTTTTGATCTTTTCATATAGCATATAGTTAGTTACAGAAATGACAAATGTATTGAAATGTTTCAGTCAAATGTAATTCAGTTGTATTCTTCTGCAGTTATTAAATTATTACAAGCAATCTTTTAAATGTTGGAATTATATTCCATTAGATTTTTTCCAAATGCTTTGAGCATAAAATGCGCATGTTTGTCTTGCATAGTGACAGTAAAATATGGTGGTTAAGCTTTCTCATTCATATTTAGTATTGCATATTATGATATTAACATTAAATACTTCATATACCAATTAGTATGCTTTCCTTATTACATTTAGTACAAAGCTATATGTTTCCCCGTGCTGTAAATTTAAATTTGTGGTTGGCCACAGAACCAGAATTTGAAATTGAAAAGAGATCAATAACACAAGTATATTTATACAACTATATTTTGCTAGATTTTAACTCAAGTTCACAGAAAAATCCTGGACATTGTTTGTAGCTGATACTAATGTTTTTAGTTTCAACTAGTTTTTTTTAAAATTATATATTTTAATCTTAACTGCAAAAATGGCAAGAAAATAATTCGCAGATGGTAAAAGTTTGATTCTACTTCTGTCTTTCAGTGTTGATGTATTGTTTGTTTACACCACTAGTACACTATACTACTAAGCACTCTCAGGTTCAGATTACTTACGATTGTGTTCACTTTCTCTAGAAGGAAACTGGATCAGTATCACCTCTACTACCCTTGAGTAGGTGATGTCTTCAGGTCTAAGCATAGGGCTGAAGGAATGAAGAGTATTTCTGGAACTACTTCATAGCTGTTCTCATCCTCTAACACATTGCAGGAAGTGACAGGAAGATGTTTAGTATTTTAATGTACATTTGAAAAGAACATAAAAGGAAGCTATGTAGAGTGAAAGGTAGGTAGAACAGCGGAATTTGGTGCCTAGTCTTCAGATTTTGAAGGGAGAAAGTGAAAAACTTCAAGTGAGGAAGTTAGATTTTTCTACAACAATGTAGCGCAAAATAATTTTAATGTTTTTTGTCTTGCCTGTTGTTTTCTTGCCTAGTCTTCAGATTTTTAATTTTATTCTTTATTCATTGTTCAGGGTATAATTTTTCAATATAGTTTAGAATGTAGCTTGTTCTATGCATGGAAAATGTTCATTTGTTTTTTCTTTAGTCCTGGGAAAAATCCGGAGTGCAGTAGGAAGTGCACAACTTTTGATGTCCCAGAAGTTACAGCAGTTCCATGGTCTCTGCGAGCAAAATCTGGTATGTACCTTTACACAGCTTCCTGATCCTGAGTAAGTTAGTAGTAATTATGAGCATGCATTCTAATGGGAAGCAATAAGATAGAATACTTAATTAATTTATTAACTTAATACCGAATTCAGAATGCAGTGGCACTATAAACAAGTCCAAATCTATTGATTTTGCAACAGTGTTTATAGGTTCTCCCAATAAGTCAGTACATCAATTTAAACGTGCATGAACGTGCTCTACCCCATCCCTGCAAGGTAATAAACCATGTTGAGCAGGAAAATCTTTGTTTCATAGACGTGGTTGGGAGGTGAAGGGAATTTTGTCTTAATTATGTTTTGGTTAGGAAAGAGCGAAAAGTCATCAAAGATTCCTTAAGTGACTTTTCGTTCAGTGAAACCTGCTGCACAACAAGAACGTGCCCTTAGGTTTATCAGTAAGGTCATGAAATACAGAAGCAAGGAAATGGTGTTAAACCTGTATAAAACACCGGTTTGGCCTCACATGGAGTTTTATGCCTAGTTCTTAGCATCACACATTGGGGAAAAATGAGAAGGCATTAGAGTACAGGAAATATTCTGGAGTGTACAACATCAGTTATATCAATAGATTGAAGAAGTTGGGAGGCTCTCCTGGGAGGCTAAAAGCTGCAGAGATTTGATAGAAGATTTAAAAATTGTGAAGGTTTGGACACGTAAACTGGGAGAAACTGTTCTCCCTAGTGGAAGAATCAAGAACAAGGGACAGACTTAAGGTAATTGGCAAAACAAAATTGGCAATTTGGTGACTTTATGTTAAGGTCTGGAATGTACTGTGGTTGGGCCCAGAGTCAGTCAAGGTATTCAAGAGGGAAATTGAATGATTATCTGAAAAGCTGTGCAAGTACAGTTGCAGTGTCGTAGAAGAGCACCAGCTTCATGCATTCAAACAAATGAGTTGTATTCACAAAGACTGTCAAGTTCAAGTTACCTGTGCATGTCTTCAGCCTGTTACAACTTTTTTTCAATCTATTTCTCATATTACAGAGGGAATAGCTGATAAATTATCTATGCTCTGCCAATTCAGTAGATGAAGATGTGTAATCAAGAAATTTCAATGAATTAGATTCTCAACTTCTGACGTGAAGAACTGATTGTAGTATTGAGTTAATTGATTTTTGTCAAACTTCCCTTTTCTCATGAATGTTTGGGGGGGGAGATCAACAAAATATTAGACAGGGTATAGAATAAGTGGCTGATCTGACACTACCAGTGAATCCCATAAACCTTGATTTTTCTAAAAAAAAAATTCAATATGGAATCTGAATCTGACCTTGGGAATGTTGACTTTGAGTCTGTAATTTTACATGACATGAAATTATAGACATGGAAAATTTAGACAATTCCAATTTTGTACGGTTAATTACCTGTGTGTTCTGTCATGAAGGTAAGCTGTTATATTGTATTTGAATTCCCAGCATATCAAGAATCCAGTTTTTTTCCCTTTTCCTGTTCTGCACAATTGCATATTGAGATTAACGTTATTTAATACTCAGTAATAGAGCGAGTGCCAGAAAGAGAGGATCCATTTAGCTGATTTAAAAAGCAATAAAGGAGTTATGGCACTACTTGTGTATTTTATAGGCTGCCAAATAGTGGGGAAAAAGGTAGAGGAGGAGTACAGCAAAGTTACTGAGAGATACATGAACTGTAGAGTGACAATATTAAATAGTGCAGATTCAGTGGACTGAATGATCATCTGTGCTGCAGTATTCTGCAATCTGTAGCATGCTGCGTGTATATGAAGCATGCTCACTATTCGTAATCAAAAAAACACAATGGAACATAACCTTCCCATAAGACCTCAGCAAAATTATTGCTTAGGCTGTTGAACTATACATAACATTGCTGCAATAGTTTTTCCATTCTTCCCTCTGTAAATGCCTTTTCAACAGTAGCAGCCTTTCCTCTGTCTGAGTTTCAAGTAGATAAGGTGTCCCCCTACAGGACATTTTTTGTGGTACATGTGATTTCACTCAGCAGTTCCTTGGTCAAGCTGAGCTGGCTCCAAAATGGATAAATCCCACATCTTCCAAAATAACCGTATTTTAGCATGTTATTTGCCCCATGTAGAAAATTAAGACATCGTAGATGCGTTGATTCCTCACTGTTTTATTTTGAAGTGCTTTAAGTTTTTTAAAAACCTCTCTGGGGCTTTTGCTAAGTGAGTTCCATTCTCTGAAGTTCTGTTGAGTATTACATGTTCAAAGTACAGTTTTTAGTCCACAAGAACATCTGATTTATTTTGAAATGTTTTAGTATATCTGCTACTGCCTTTACTAGTCTTTTAGGAAGTAAGTTCCAGATACCTCTACTCTCTATGAAAACAAATTCCTTAAATCCTTTCTAAACGTCCTGCTCTTCATTTTAAATCTATGCCTTGTACTAAGGGGAAAAGTTAATTCTTATCTGCCCTATCTGTGCACCCCCATATTTTCGTACACCCCAATCTCCCTTCAGCCTTCTGTGCTCCATGGAAAATAGTCCCTACATATTTAATCTACCATCGTAGCTGAAACACTGCAGTTTGGGCCTGGTAAACCACCTCTGCACCCTCTTCAATTCAATGATGTCTTGTACCACGCTGACTAGAACTGCACATAATACTCTGACTGTGGCCTAATCAATAGCTTAATCTCCATTATAATCTACCTGCTTTTATATTCAATGCCTTGACTAATAAAGGCAAGTATCCCATATGTTGTCTTAACCACCCTGTCCACCTGGCCTAATGTCTTCATTGATCTATGGACATGTGCACCAAGATCCTTCTGATCCTCAGTACTTCAAAGGATCCTATCATTCATCGTGTAGCTTGGTAATTCTACCTAAATGCATCATGTTTCACTTACCAGAATTAAACTCCATCCACCATCTGACCAGCCTGTGTCTATTGTCCCATAGTCTAAGGCTTTTCTCCTGGCTTTTCACCACACAGCCACTTTTTGTGTCATTTGCAAACATATTAATCAAACTTCCTCCATTGTTTAGATCATTGATGTGTGCTACAAATGGTTTGGAACCCAGCACCAAAACCTGTGGTACGCCACTGCGTTTCCAGTCACAAAAACAACCTTCGACTAGCACTTTCTACCTCCTCTGACAAAGCCCATTTTGGATCCAGTTTGTGAAATTGCCCTGGATCCCATCGTCTCTCACCTTCTTGACTAGCCTCCCATGTGACATCTTGATTAAAGCCTTACCGATGTCCATGTAGATTATATCAACTAAACTACCCTTACCTACACACCTCGTCACTTCCTCCATGTAAAACCACTGATGTTAGACTCATTTTTCTATAGTGGCCCAGTTTATCTTAACCTCCCTCCTTGAATAGTAATACCACATGAGCTGAGTCCTCTGGCACACCACCTGAGGCCATAGTGGGTTTGAAAATGAAGGGTCAGGAGAGCTATTCAGTCTTGAGTCCATTAAAACCACTCATTCCTCCATCCTCTCAAGACTAATTTGTTCAAGTTTATCCTCCCCTGATCTTTATACCTAGACCATCCCTTTTTGTAGTAAATACAGAGGCCATGTACTCCTTCAAAACCTTGCCTTCATTTTCTGGCTTTGCACAGAGTGCTACTTTGGTCCCTACTGGGCTGTACTCTTACCCTGTTTATCCTCTTACCCCTAATATATTTCTAAAATGCCTTTAAATTTTCCTTTATTTTACCTGCTAGTGTCTTTTCATGCCCCCTCTTCAATTTTCTAATTTATTTTTTCAGTAACCTATCTATACTCCTGTAGAACTGTTGTTATTTTTAGCCCTCAGTATCTGCCATAAGCTTCCCTTTTTATTCCTTATCTGTTCTTGTACATTCTTCCAGGATTCCCTGGACTTATCAGTCCCACTCTTCACCTTAATGAGAACAAGTTGGCCCTGTATTTGTGCTATTTCCTTTTTGAATAACACCCACTGCCCCTGCTGTAGATTTTCGCATAAGGAGCTGCTCCCAGTTCCTTTGGCCAGATCCCTGTCTTATCATAATAATATTGGCCTTCTCCCAATTCAGAACCTTTATTCCTGTTCAACTTTGTCGCTTTCCCTACATACCCTTAAATCGTAGAGTTAGAGGCACTATCACCAAAATACATATCCCCCTGCATTGACACTTCTATCACTTGCCCAAGTTGTACTCTAAAATTAGGCCTAACTGCCCGATCTACATGCTGGCTTAAAAACTTCTATATATTTATATGTATACTGTGTATGTAGAGTGGATAAAACCAACAGACAGCTACATGATTGCTCAATGTGCAAATTCAGTAAATAACCTGATCCTGAATCATGGGAATCAGGCTGTGTCCTCTGATTCCTGACAATCCTGATTCATGGTAGCAATAAGGTTACAACAATTGACCCCAAATATTAAAATTAAAGATGCAGTGGTTGCTGCTTCAACCACATCCTGTGATAAAACATTTCCTTTCCCAACAATCCTCCTCCTAACACTGGCAACATGGCAAAATAGCTTTCAATAGCTCTTGTAGAGCAGTGATAGTGGCCCTACCTCTGAATAAGGAGGCCTGAGTTCAAATCCCACCTGCTCCAGAAGTATGTAATAGCATATCTGAACAGGTTGATTAGAAAATACCTTAAACATTTCTTGAATGCTGTACAGATTTGGTTGCTTCTGAAGCACAAGTGTGAATTTAGGGTGAGAGCAACTTTACCTCAAATGCAAAACCACTCAATCAAATTCTTTGCCAACAAAACGACATACAATATAGCATTAGTTGGGAAAGGAAGAGCGAACTCGGTGAAAAGGAGTGAGGAGCAACACTGTACGTAATCTTCGTTTTCACTTTTGTGCTTATGCTTTTGTAGAATCAAAATGCAAACCCACGACCGACTGCACAAGATTTAGCTGGCTTTTGGGACATGTTGCAGCTTTCCATTGAAGACATTAGCTTGAAATTTGATGAACTTTATCATCTTAAAACTAATGATTGGCAAATTATTGAAATGCCAGAAAAGAAGGTATGTTACAATTTTATCTCAACATTTGATGAGTGGTAACTAATTAATGGTATGTTTTGAATACAACGATCATATTTCTGTGTGGAGAAATGCGCCACAGCAGTATAAGTAAACAGTTTTATAATAGACGTTTAAAGAAGGATGGAAATGCATTGGAAACAATTCAGGAAGGTTTAGAAGACTAATAATAGGAATGGCTGGATTGACTTATGAGAAAAGTTGAGATAGGCTAGGCTTGTATGTGCTGGAATTAAGAGTAAGAGGTGACTTGATTGCAACATTGAAGATTCTGAGGAGTTTTAATAGGCTAGGTGTTGACAAGATGTTTACTTTTATGGGAGAATCTGGAACTGGGGATCATGCACTTAAAACAGATGAGGTGATTTTTGTTTAATTTGCGAGTCAACAAGTCGTAAGTCTTTGGAACTCCCTTCCTGAAAAGTGGTGGAAATAGAGCCTTTGAACATTTTTAAAACTGAGGTGGATTGATTCTCATTGAGAAAAGAGGTGTGAAAAGTTATTGGGTGTAGGCAGTAATGTGGATTTGAGATTACAATCAGATCAACCATGATCTTATTAATTGATGAAGAGGCTTGAGGGGTCAAATGGTTTATTCCTGCTCATGTACTCATGTATGTGAAATATAAAGAAATGCAAATTAATATGTACACTTAAGTTTAATGTGGTCTGCATATACTTCTGATTTTCAGGCAAAGGGATTTGAAGTGTTGGTACTGTTGACTGAAACTTGTGGCTTGTCTTGAAATTCACTTAGTTTATACAGTAAAGACCATGCATTATTATTGTTGCAAGCTGTCCCATTTCATGTTGTGAAAAGATAGAACTTTTTTACGGTATTGCAAAACATTTGGCAAAAAGAAATACCCATTAATGATCAGAATACCATACCATGTAGCTACAGGCAAGAATATCTGTTGTTGGATGCTGGGCTAAGCTATTAGTCAATCTTTGAACAGCAGACAAGTTATCCCAGTAACTAATATTTATCCCTCAATCAACATTAGTATACAATATCAGGTGATTATCATATTCCTGTTTATGGAATCTGCTACATGAAAATTAACTGTCATGTTTCTTGCATTAGACCGTAACTGAATTTCAAAGTATTTCATCAGCTGTAAGGTACTTGGAGATATTCTGAAATTGTGAAAGGTGCAACATATTTCAGTAACTAATGGCTGTATACATGTGTACTAACTAAATAGTTTACATCCAGAATTTTTGTTTAATTTCCTTTTCTGCATTTTAACATGTTTGTAAAATTGAAAACTGATGGTTAGGATGAAAAACCATGTTTTCAATCCATCAACCTACATAGAAGTGTTCAACTAGGTCGGCAGAGAAGTGCTATACTATCCATGAATAATTATTTTAACAGTACAGCTTATCGACTGAACCTATGTCTTTGGTTTGTACATTTTCAAAGCTTTACACTCTTTTGAAATAAAATAAAACCAAAATGTAGTATCTATGGAAGAGATTTTGTTTCAGGTCAGTACTTTGTCAGGACCCCAAGCTGCTCATCCTGAAATGATTCCAACATTTTTCTGTTTTTATTTCAGTAATTTCAGCATTTGAAACCCCTCAAGGCACAAACATTGCTGTTATTCACTACTAGATGAGCAATTAAATATTAGGATATCTGAAGCCACTGTTTTCAATGTTTTTTTTCAAAATCTGTTTCCTAGCTACAGCTCTATCCATCTCCCTGGCAACAGTCAAAGATTTAGTTAGTCTGTTCACATTTAGTGTCGTACTTAAGCTCATGGTGAGTTTCTGGCCTCATTTGCACCATCACAAAGATTGTCAATTTCTATGTCTGAAGATTTGCTTGATCTTGCATTGTCACAGCTCGTCTGCTGCCATCATCCAATACTATTATTTCCTCTGGACTCAACTGTTCCAACACTCCTGAACTAGTCTCCCATGTTCTGTAAGCTAAAGTAACCCAAAGCACTATCACCTGTGTGCCAACTCAGCAGTAAGTCCCACTCCTCTGCCCCTACTATATTCGTTGAACTGCATTGGATCCTTTTGCAATATCTTGATTTTAAAATTCTTGTCCTTGTTTTCAAATCCCTCCATAGTCCTTCCCGTCACTATCCCTGTAATTTCCTCCAACCCCGCCATCCCTCCTGAGAAATCTATGTTCTTTCTCTAGCCTCTAATGCAGCTCCCTAATTCGAATTGTTTCAACATTGGTGGATGTGCCTATAGTTGCCACCCACAAAATTCTGGAATTTCCCACCTACACTTTCTACCTTGTTTTTCATCTTTAAGACATTTCTTAAAACGTGCCATTATCTGACCTAAAACCACCTTGTGTGATTCACCATCATGTTTTATAATGCTGCTATGATGCACCTGGAATATTTCATGTTAAAGGCACCACATAGATTGTTATTAGTAACATTGAGTTTAAATCCAGTCTGATTTGGTCTTGAGAAGAATGGAGTGAGACGCCTGGAGGAGGAATTTTTTGTACTCCGATCAGGGCTGAACGCTGAATTTGTGCTGCATTAGTTAGTCATGCATGAATATCAGGAACTATTTTGCAACAGCTTTAAAATTGTATTGCAATAAGTCATGATGCAGAATCCATTTATTTTGTGCACAAATTCTGAAAATTCTGTTCCTTTGGATATCTGTCAGTGAAAGGTAGCAAAACAGTTTTACTACCAAGTCTAACCTGGTGGTGGCATTGTTTATTTTCTGCCTTTGCTTCTGGTATTGGTGTTGCTCCCATCTAATCTTGAGGTAATAGGGCCACTACAGTGTGGAGTATGTTTGGAAATGGTTTACTTTGGTTGTGCTTACTACTTCAGCAAACTTGGGCATTGATTCTTTTACATTACAGAAGTGCTGTTGATTTCACTGCCTCAGAAAGCAACTGAGTCTAATTGTTTTGGGGCAAAAATGATATGCAAACAAATCCTAGTAAACATTTTGATACATGATAATGAGACAGCACACGGTAACCTTGATTAGAATAACAGCATCTATTTTAATATTAGTATTTTTTTCTCAAAGGAGGAGAAAAAGCTGCCCCCGCCCGTGCCAAAGAAACCAGCAAAGGCTAAGACTCCTATAAATCGTGAGAAACTAACCGATTCAGCAGACAAACAACGTCAGGAAGCTCGGAAGCGATTAATGGCAGCTAAACGAGCTGCATCTGTACGACAGAACTCCGCAACAGAGAGCGCAGATAGTATTGAGATATATGTTCCTGAAGCACAGACCCGGCTGTGATTTGGAGTAGATCTTTTGTACACATTTTGGGCTAACTTTAAAATTTCAGCAGTCTGTGCGATTCTACAAGCAACATTTAGCACCAAGTAATAGAATGCAATGTTTATTAGTATATAATGCATTGCTATTCAACAGACTATTAAAATCCTTTCTTTCTAAATGTTAAATCTGATCTCAACAGTGTGTATATTGGTTGCCATGCTTCTCATCATTTGCATGGCTTTGTCTTATCCACCACAGTCAGTTTTTCTGTACAGTAAACAAATTGCTTTGCCTCAATAGCAAATGGTGTTTTCTCTAGCATATACAGGAAAAGGACTGGAAAAAGTACATCAACAATTCTTCATTAATTTAACTGTTGAAAATTTAGAGGAAGATGAAGTTTCTTTGAATAACTAAACCTGAGCTCAATTTTATTGGGTTGTTGTTACTTTTGATCTAAAAAAGCGTGCTCCTGTTTGCTGGCACAATAGCTTTTCAGAAGATGCTTCCATTGGCTCTGTAAATTTGGATTGCTGCTGCAAAATGATGTAAAACCTCTCTACCATTCAGTAGAGCAAAGCAATAGAGCATTTCAATGTTCTCACATTTTTTCAAAATGTACAGAAGTGACATAGAAGATACAACTGGGAACCATAGAATCATTTTATGAAAGAAGCACATGCAACAAAAAAGGTTTTATCAAAACTGATCTAGTTTTAAAACCTTTTCAGATGTGTTCTTGGATTTTGCAGCCAAAATTTTAAAGTATTTGTCTCATTTGTTACGGTTACTTCCTGAATCTAGTATTAGCTTAAAGTGGTTGTTTATATGTAGATAACTAGTTAAAATTTTAAGCATTCAGATGAAGATAAATTATGGAGAGAACCATTGTGTTTTGATTGACTTAAGAATCTGTTAGGTGCAAGTGTCATGTTCAAAAAAGTTGGTGAAATTTCATAAAAACATGAAAGAAGCACTACCTAATAGCTTTTGTCCAAATATACTTTCTAACGTGTAGTAGTCTCCATTATTTCATCTCTGTGTGATACAGTGTCGTGTTTCGAAGATTGCCAAATGTTTGTCAACCATCTTTTTATTCTGTTTCTTTTAATGGCTTTTAACAGAAGAAATGATTACTTTTTGACATTCAAGACTCCATTACTTAAACATTAAATTCATGAGCAAAAGATTTTAATTTCAAAGATTTAAATATTTAAAATCTTGGTTGGTTATAATGCAACTATGGTAACTCTGTATTTGTTGTTTAAAATGGTTATTCATGCTTTTTTTCTCATCTGAGGAATTGATTTTCTGCACTTGTGCCCAAGACTGGATGCATTAGGACAAGATCACATTTTACTAGAGATAGATGAGATTTGTTACTCATCACTGAACTGTCATTGTTGGTGGACTGTTTTTTAAAAACAATATTTTCCATAAAGAGATGTCTGGAGGCAAAATGGCCTTCTAGCTTGAGTTTCTTTGTGATGGTCTTTCTTTATGGGTGTGATGGTTCTTTCAGATAAAATAATAATTCATAAAATGCCACAATTTCACAAAGCTATTCCTCACTATAATTTTCTATGTATTTTTAAAGTCCCCAGAATGCTGCATTCAGCTGTGACTCCTGAGTCAGATGTCTCCAATATTTAGACAGTGGTGGCACCAATTCTGAATCACATTCCTCATCTCTGCTCACAAGACTTAGCTAATTTTCAAAACCTTATGTCCACACATTCAACTGTTAAGAAGTTGAGAAGTTCAGGAGTAGCAGAAACTAAACACCTGGCATTTTGCTATAATTGAAGCACATCAAAGGAGTGGTTTATGATCATTTTTAGAACAGTATTTTACTGTTACTAAGTGCTTCACATTCCACAGTACAAAAGCTGTACCTGAAAAATGATTTATTATAACTCATTCCTCTTTTACATAACTTATCATCAATATATATTATTGGTCTTTCATTTTCTTTAACCGAAGTATATGATAATCAAATTTTGTGTAAAATTTTAAATAAGGTATCACAAAGATATTGTATATGACACATCTTAATTTGAAAAAAATTTGTTAACTTTGCAGCTACAACCTAGAATGAACTTTTTGTAGAGGCTTGACCAATGAGATTGTGGGTACTGGGTGATGTTGGTGACGTTTCTTTTTTATAGTTTGGTTTATTTCTACCCAGAATGGTGAGATGAAACTCTAGTCTATCTAACCATTGTTAATGGTTACAAGAGAGTTGATATGTTGGTATGAAAATTAATCTTAAATTTACACTTACTGATGTCTTTGTGCCAATCATGTAATATCATTTTTGAAGAGAAAATTCTGTAAAATAATTTATAATCCTAAGTACTTTCTGTTGGTCAATAGTAAGAAACAAAGAAAAGGTTACACATTAAAGAAGTTGAAGTATTTGGGTTTTTATCATATTATGAGGAAAAGCAAAGGGAACTACACTATCTCTGTGATCTTGAAATGCCTAATAGTGCAACTAAATAATTATAGTCTTAAAAGTCTTCCACTTCCCAGCATCAGTATGCCTGAACATGAGCACAGAAAGTTGTGATGCTTATAATTACTTCCCAGTTTGTACATTTCAGTAGACCAATGCCTCGCCAACATTTATTACCCATCCCTAATTCCCTTGAATGGAATAGGTTGCTGCGCCATTTCACACAGCAGTAAAAATCAGGCACATTGTGGCAAGACTAGAGTCACATGTAGGCTGGACGGAATGAGGTTGATGAATTTCATTCCCTAAAGGGTATTTGTGAGCAGTATGGATATTTACAAAAATCGATAGTTTTGTGGTCGCTATCACCGAAACCTTGCAATTTCTTTCATTCATTCACGAGATTTGGGTGTCACTGGCTAGGCCAGCGTTTATTACCCAGCCCTAATTGTCCAGAGGGTAGTCAAGTATCAACTATATTGTTGTGGTCTGGAGTCATATGTAGGCCAGACCAGGTAAAGATGGCAGTTTTCTTCCCTAAACAACATTAGTGAACCAGATGGGTTTTTCAGCTAATTGACAATGGTTTCATGGTCATCGATAGACTCCTAATTCCAGATATTTACTGAATTCAAATTCTACCATCTACCATGGCAGGATTTGAACCCAAGTCCCCAGAAATAACCAGGGTCTGTGGATAAATGGTCTAGCAATATTACCACGAGGCCATCATCCCACAGAATTCCAAAATTTATCAATTGAATTTAAATTTCACCGGCTGCTGTTGTGGGATTTGAAGTCATATCCTCAGAGCCTAAGCCTCTAGATTACTTGTCCCATGACATTAAACTTAGGCCACCATTTACCCTTCAAGTAACTTATAGTGCACCGATTGGCAATTGCTTTTATCAGACATCTACATTAATGAGAAAGCAATTACATATCTTTACAATTTCATTTTGCTGTAAACTTGTTTTTAATTTGCTATTTTTAAAATTCCTGAATTTTTAATATAGCAAGCAAAATACTGTAGATGCTGGAATTCAGAAATGAGAACCAAAAAAAAGCTGGTTAAAGTGTCTGCAGGTCAGGCAGCTTTCTGTTGATTTTTAACTCTTGGTATATCTGGGCTTTTGGTTGATTCGCTGATTTTGTAGTATCATTTTGCACATTCAATACACTTTTTAATCACATGAACTCTGGTGGTTCAGGAGGCAGCTTGAGGGCATTGGGGATTATCAGTAAGTATTGGTGTAACCAGTGGTGCACCCTCCCTAAATAATAATTTTTAAAATATAAACTATTTGGCACACAAAATCCTAATAAATAAGTTTAGCTGAATGCCAAGAACTTGCCTCCAATTCCACTTTAAGATAAAAGTAGGAGTTAAAGGAGTATCAGTCCAAACATTACACTGATTTGATTCATATTGTTCAATGTTTTAATGCAAGCAAAATAGGCTTGTAAGGCATCTTCAGCCTTTTGTGTTTTGTACAATGGTTATTTCAGATTATAGTGTATTCAGCATAAGCACTTTATTTTAAAATGACAATCATTGCTGCAGGCAAATCATCATTGTAATGCTATCAAGTCAACATTGACAAGCCAAGGCAGTTAAGAAATTTTTTGAAGTGTTCTGCTGTGTATTTCCAACAAAATGCTCAGTAAGGATTTTTCATAATAAGCATAAGGGCTAACCTAAATGATGAATTGCTCAATATGTTTTTATGAGAAGTGTTTGTAAATAATATTGTTGATTAAACGCTGCGCATTAGAGGTCAGAGGACTAGAGTTTGCGGTACGTTTTAATGTTTCAATACTGAATGTCACACTTTAAATTCATTATACATCATCTATAAGAGCATGAAATAGGTATTCCCAAAGAAAGATAGCATTTTGAATATTCTAAACACTTGAAGCAAAAATCCTCTATCATAACATTTCTTTAAAAGATTGTAGTCTGTATAACTTTGATTTTAGCATAGGTTGCAATTTTTGTCTTGCTGTCTTGTCTGTTAGTGATCTGTCACCAGGTTAATTGCCACATAACAGATTTAACTGATGGAGAATGAACTGTTATGAATTCCAGCTTTAGTGAGTTTGTATGTTTATAATGTGGCCAATTAGAGATCTCAGTTACTTATCTGTACTGCATGCAGAATCAGCTGCTGAATACAGTTTGCAGAGAGTTATCGAAGGGAACTGAAAAGTTTACGGATTTATCTCCCTATGTAAATGGGATAAACTCTAGTGTACATTAGAGCTAATGCACCTTGATTAGGATTTGTTAGAACTGATGCTGCTCCTGTATTGTGTAAACTCCTGGGGTTAAAAAGCAATGGTGTAGCTGGCTTTTTAGAAGGGAATTCTGCTGGTTAGTGTGTACATCAAATAAAAACTTTCACTGATTAGTTCAGTGTTGGTATTTGCTCATTACTGAAAAAAATCGTCATAATTTGTTCTAATCAAATTCACCAGTGCAATAAATAATCTTTTTATTAAAGTGACTTTCCCTCTTCCCCTCCCTATTATTCCTTCAATTCTCACAAGTAATCAGTTATTCAATATGATGATAATTGAACTAATTTTATCATTAGGTGAACTTAAGCAATATTTGACAGTGACCTAACATAAATGTGGTAAACATTAATACAGTTGCGAACTCTTGTATAGTGATTGAGTTTCAATAATATGCAGAAAGGGACAATTTGGCCCGAGATACCATGATCGTAAATAGACTAAACAGTTTTTGAATTCCAGTCTTTGTTTCCAATATTCTTGTGCATCAATCTAACCAATTCTTGTTTTCAATCAAATTATTATGATTACAATTTAATTGCCACATCTTGAGGAAAGTTTTATATTATGTACCCACAATACGTGAAATAACTACTGGAAACATTTTTATAAAAATTACTTGTTCTTCTGTGGCAGTGCTCATGAACAAAAATGAAATAAAAATGTCTATCATCTGTCTTCACTTAAGCTACTTGGTTTACTGTAAGTCTTTGTCTGTTCCCGTACTGAGTGTCTAAACTTGGTCTCCATTTGTATCCCAGAAGGCATTGACATGACTTCTTATGATCTCTGTAATTGTTTCCTACAAGTCAGTCATCTCTCTTCTGTCCGTATCCTACATTTTGTGTTTCATTGTGATCATTTGTCTGTAGATTCCACAAGCACAGGGATGATCTCTTGCACTACCTTTTCATCCCTTTGATCACTCCACTGTGTAGTTGGACATGTGGACTAATGAGTTCACAGGTTCTTTCAGCTAAAGCGTTGGCCATTGGGAAGGCTGAAGCTACCCCTGTCAAACCGTGTGCCTTTTATTTTTAAAAAGATCTATTAACTTTCTTCATTTCTGTATTTAAAAGAAAAGCATATTAGCCTTTGTAATTCAATCTTGCAGTGAGTTTCAAAGTCAATTTTTGTTTCAGCTCATCAACTTCGCAAAAATCTTATCCATCGAGTGTTCTCTGAGCTGTGTTCTTACCTCTCTCGATCTTCTGATCCGAATTATCATCTGACATTTTCCCTACAGCCTGGGACCTAGCCAACAGTTCTTAGTATGGATTAGGTCATTTGTTTATGCTGTGATCTTGTAAATTCATGCAAACGTGCAGTACTGAAAGATCTGTAGTATGTTTCATTTTATTTGAATTCTGGATTTGATTTACCACTCATACTTCCCATTCGGGTTCAGATTATTTTGCAAACTGGCGACTATGAAGAGTTCCAATTCTGCTTGGGTGGAATTTTTATTGGCTGATGTTCCGTTTTAAACTATCGTTATTGGTCTGTACAATCTGCCCATCATCCTAGTCATTTTCATCCCGCCATTTGAAAAGCGAACCGGTTTATGTCTCGAGGGGGCGATTCTTGACTGGCAAGCCGGCATTTCCTCTAAAACTTATAATGGAAACCTTCAAAGGGAAAAAAAAGGCGGGGTGAATGCGCATGATAGCGCTTCTCCTTTTAAGCGTCTTAGCAATGATTTGGAGATTGTTTGAATTCT